GCCTTGCAGAGTACTGTGGGTGGTAAGGGAATGTGAGAGGTGCCAAGCTGCAGGTCCTCTATTCCTTTGCCATCTACTCTGTTTTCTCCCTGCTTAAAAGAGAAGTGTCAGGTAAACATCTTGTTGTTTACGTGACACATTTAGCCTTACAATTTGAGGAGCACAAGGAGGGGCAGAAAGAGGCTTGTTCCTCTTTGCTGTCAAAGTAAGGGTTGTGAAAAGTTAGCTTAAAAATAAAAACAGCTCCTGCCTGGAAAAGCTTACAATAGAGACTGTACAGGAGAAGATGTGATGTCTTGAAAAAGCTGTAATCAAGAACACCTGGAAAATGTTGAATAATGTTGGTTTTGGTTCACTTCTCAGGGATATTGCTGAAAAAGGGATTCTTTATGAGTATAGCTAATAGGGTAGGGGAGAGATGTTATCCAAAGGATGTTAAAAAATCCTATATACATGTGGCTGTGGTGCAAAGTGCAAATCTCATGAATGTTATGAATTAATATTATAAAATCTCAGGAATTGGGAAGCATGCCTCATAGTAAAAAATGCAAAAAGTTTAAGACTTTTAGCTTAACCAGAGAAGTTCATGAGTGACTTAAATAAACTCTGTATATACCTACATGAGGAACAGAGACATGATCAGAGAAGGCTCTTCAGTCTATCAGACCAAGGCATGACAAGAATCAATAGCTGGATGTGGAAGTCAGACAAATTCAGACTTGAGATAAGGTGCATATTTTTATCTGAGAGCAAGTAACTGCTGGGACAATTTAGTAAGGTTTGTTTTTAATTCTTCACTGTAAACTGTAAAATCAGGACTAGAATTATTTTTCTAAAGATGGTGCTCTAATTTGATATTTTTCAAGAAACTTATATCAATAGAAGGAAATCCTGTGGGCTGTATTTTATGCAAAGTCAAACTAGATGGTCATATTTGTCCTTTCTCACCTTAAAACCTATAAAAGTGTACCTTTAGTCACACTCAAGTAATTAGACCCAGTATCTGACACTCAAGTAATCTCTGTGCTGTCTTCATTGTATTACAATGCAGTGTTGAAAAGGATGGATGACATACAGGCTGATGTCTTGAAGTCATATGGTTGTAACTAAGCCACTGTGAGTATAGTGTTGTCCAAGTAGAAGGACAAGGGCTAAGAGAGGAGTATTAATAATGGACACTCTAATAGACCAGCCTACTTTTTCTGACAAATGGGTGGAACTTTAGCTTATGTTTCTGAAAGGAGTCCCTTCCATTAGCTTTTGACCCTTTCTGGTCAGGGAAGCAGGGTTTCTTTATATTTACATATCTTGACTCTGCCTTGCTGGCTTCTGCTGTAAAAGGGAAATTGACCTACAAGGCCCTGAAACTGCTATTGCTTGGGGCATCATCCAGTGTTCTCATTGAAATTTAATCACACAATCATTCTGAAGTTCACACCTCAGCAGCATGCTTTTAAAATAAAACACATCTAAGGCAGCAGGGAAATCACTAGGAGGGTGGGGAAGCAGTGAAGTGGGTTACCTCGAGATTGAATCTCCATCTTTGGAGGTTTTTAAGGCCTGGCTCATCAAAGCTCTGCCTGGAATGATTTTCTAATGATTCCTAATTTTCTATGATTCTATGAATGGAAGCACGTGAAGTAACAACATGAGTCAGGTGCCAAAACTCAGAGGGGTTCAACCTCCATAGTTAGTTTTCTCTTTTGGCTACCTCTAGGCTTTATGAATCATCTTTGCAGGCACCTGATTCTCTCCCTTTGTATAAAAATGTCAGGCACCTGAACCCGGTTAAATTGGATATTTTTCAGGGATGCCCTTTTCAGGGATCTCCATTTTAGGGATACCTGGTGTGGAAGAAATCAAACTTCGTGTTGTGGTTGAATCAGAACTGACAGAGCCAGTTTTTCTTTATTTAGGGCTATACTGTGATCACAGGGAGAATTCCAGACAGCAAGGGGAATCACCCACTTGTCTGTTTCAAAGGAATTCTCGAACTCTATAAGTTTACAAGCATATTTATACTTAAGACAGAGAAAGAGAAAAAAATACGACCTTTGAGGAACAAAACAATAGTAAATGACACAGACATACAGGCAGTTTACTTAAAGAAAACATCCGTGCACAAGGTAATATATCAAGACAAAACAAGGCACGCAGGATTCCTTGTTTCAGAACATGTAACTGAAATAAGCAGTATTAGCACTTCTGGTCTCTGTCTGTTTTCCTAGTGAAGCAGGCCAGAAGCCCAACTAAATCCACTACCACACTGGCAATTAATCCTGATCAAACTATATTGCCCTTTCAGGACATTTTGTTTAGATTTTAGCTGTATCAGCACCTAGGGGCATCTTTGCATGCATTGGAGCAGGCTTCAGGCATGTGTATAGATGCTTTAAGTGTCAATGCCTATGCACCCAAACTTGAACTGTCCCCTTTTCTATGTGCTAAAGTATATAGAGGTATTTCCAACAGCATACAGTAAAGACTTCAACTAGTGGAAGGATGTTAAAGCCGTGGAATTTACAATAGATATATATTGTAAAAAATATATATGAAATGCCCATTTGAATGAATTAACTCCAGTGATTAATGAGCTCAATTAACATTCTATATATATAAAGGGCTTAGTCTGGCTGTCTGTCTGTCTGTAACGCTCTTGGAGCACTCTAATTGGTTGTCTTGGCAGCTGTTCACAATGCTTACTGAAACAACCAATGAGTGCTCCGCACAGACAGACAGATGGCTGGATGTGGAGTGGGGGGGTGTCGCGGGGCTGAACGTGGAGTAGGGTGGGACTCTTGGAACTCTTAAGCTTGGAGGCAACAGTAGTGTGGGGCGTGGATGGAGTGGGATGGTGGAGTGCCGCCGTGATAGCAGGGATGGAGGGAACAGAGTTTAGGGGCAAGGCCACCCCGCCCCCCGCGGCTCTGCTCCTTGTAGGTTGTGGCGGTGCAGGGTGCTGGCAGAAGGGGATGGAGGGGACAGTGGGGCAAGCTCCACCCCTCCCCCCCACTCCTGGGAGGCGAAGGCAGTACTCCATCCCTGTCTGCCCCTCCTCCCAGTCATTCTTGATGGGCAGTTTGCTAGTCCTTTCATAATTAACTCCAGTGGCACTTCTTCAGAGGTAATATGATCTCTTGTTTTTCATAGGAAATACAATTTTTCTCTGTTGATAATTTTTTTCCTGGAATTAAATTAATTTTCATGAAAATATAACATCTATATTAGGTTGTTTTATCAGCAGTTAATCAAAACATCCACTCTTTTTGTGGTGTTTTCAGAGGTGTGTAAGCATCACAAGTAGGCATTAGGCAGTACCCACCTTTCCAAGAGGTAGTGGATGAGTTTGGGACTATTTTTTAAAAATGTGCTATTCACCATTACTATACAGCAGAACCCCAGTAATTCATAGGATTATGTTCTTTAGCCCTTGAGAAGTTGAGGAATTATAAATCAAGGAGGTGTATATATGGCCATAGCAAACTGCTTCAGAAGACTGCTGAGGTCCTTAAACTGAGTGGAGAAGTGGCACCGTTAGCTGTGAAAGCCACATCAAACCATTGTATGGAATTGCTGAGATAGAAAAGCAGCACCCTTGGAAAGAGATCCTACTGAATGTGAGCAACTGAGTTCTACTGTATTTGATCCATTTTGTTGAGTTTTCATTCATGGCTTTTTGTGTTGGATCCATTTGTGTGTTTTGAAAGTGCGTGGTATTTGTAATGTGCCTTGTTGTTTTCTTTATATAAGGGCTGTCAGTTATTCACAGTTAATTTACACAATTAACACAAAAACAAATTAATGCATTAATTTTTTAATTGCGTTAATTGTGCTCATGGTTTTGACCAGCGGAGCAGACCAGCTCTAGACCAGCTGGAACCCACGCATACGGCCCTGACCGTGACCCACCCTGCACCTGCTCCAGACTTACCTGCCCATGCTGAGCAGCGGCAGTGGCTGGGCAGAAGCTGCTAGTCGGCACAGGGTGGGGAAGGCCGCCCCTCTTCCTCACTGCTGCTGGGTCCTTCTTGCTGCAGCCACGCAGAGCCTGCATTTCGGCTGCCCTGCAGCTCCTCTCCACTGCTGTCACTGTCACCTCCAAGCCTCCTAGTGGGGCAGCGGTGGCAGTGCAGAGGAGACTCAGGGCAGCCCAGGCATGGGCTCTAGGCAGCTACAGCAAGAAGGGCCAGCAGTGGGAGGGGGAGGGGCTGCTTTTCCTCTGAGCTGAACAGCAACTTCTGCCTGGCCACTGCTCATTGTGGGCAAGTGAATTTGGAGCAGGAACAGAGTGGGCCACGGTCAAGGCTGTTTGCAAAGGTTCCAGATGGTCTGTTCTGGCTGGATTGAGTCCAGAGCAGGCACAGAGTAGGTCAGGGTTGGGGCTGGTGGCAAGGAGGAGTCGCAGGGCACATGGGCTCCAGGCTGCTGGGTGTGGTGCACTGACTATTATTTAACTGTACGATTAAATTGCAATTAATTGCAACTATTTTTTTAATTTCGCAATCCATTTCAATTATTTTTTTAAATCATTAGTCTGCCCTACTTCTGATAATTGCCCATTAATGTTAATAGAAAGAGTGCTGTGTTCTAAGTGGCTCACTCAGCCAACTTTATTATTGTTATAACTATTAGACTCATACTGTGTGGTCTCCTGCTGTGGTCTGAATGCCACTCAGTAGTGTAAAATCTAATGGTGCTAGGTATCTTTTTGTCTTGGATCAAAATCTTGTGTAAACTGACGAGCCAAACGTGCCTAATTGTATTTTGCAGCTTGGAGGTAGCAAACTTGACTCGGGCAGATGCCAGTTTGGAGGCATATCGAATGCAGATGTGCAAACAGGTGATTACCATGCTGATGAAGACCATGGTTTGCAATCGCAGCCTCTCTCCACCTGTAGAGAAAAGGATGAGTTCAGTTTTCAAAAAGCAATTTCTTATAGTGGAGAATGAGATCCAGGAAGAATATGAAAGGAAGATGGTGGCTTTGACAGCTGAATGTAATCTAGAGAGTAGGAAAAAAATGGATGCTCAGCATCAAAGAGAGATGGCTGCAAATGATGAGGCTGAAGAATTAATGAAGCAAGTGAATGAAAAGGTAAATTAAAACATTAGGTTCATATTTGTGGTTCCTCCTTTAAGCTATGATGCCTGCTCTGTTCTTTCCTGAGAAATGCTTCAGTATATTTAATTTTTAACCTAGCCTTAGTTATGTTCACTATTCTGCTGGAAAGAAGTTTTTTGTGTCTCCACAGGTGAGTACAAAATAGGAGGCAAAAGACCCAATTCACCACTGTCCTAAACTTTATACAGCCCCAAAAAGCAGTGCAAATGAGAGCAAAAATATTGTTGTTTACATTTTGCATTGGGGTTACAGAGGTAGAGTGGAGAAGATATCTCACTACAGATCCAGAGGTATGAGTTTAAGCTTCATTGTGGAATTGAGAAATGCAGCAAATGAGAAAATATAATCATGCAAGCTGTTTGGAAAGTCAAAGACAGCCACATGCATTGTTTCTAGAATCACGCTCTGGAGTGCCATTGGCTATAGAAACCGGTATGCATTAATTGTGCTGGCCTGACTATATAGGCTCAGGGCAGGCCTTTGGTTATTTGTTATGCAGTAGTATCTGTGAACTCCAGAAAAATGTTTTGCTGGGCATAAATACAGAATAGAAAGTCAACCCCTGCCCCGAAAGATCTTACAGACTAAGTAAAAAGAATGAGATTCTCCTTTTTTTTTTTTACTTTAAATTACCTGACAAGCCACAAGGGGATGAGGAATTTGGCTCATAATACAACAGTCAAACAGCCAGTTTGGAATGAGCTTCAAAAAAATATTAGACTGGGCAAAAGGCTGGCTGCACCAAGACTGGCCTACTCGTTAAAGATTTCCCACTGTAATAAGAATCGAGAGAGGTGAAATGAGCAAGCTGAAACATCTGGTTCAGAGATGCTAAACCCATGGCCCACAGCACCATGTTATCCAGGCTGTGGGGGTCCCATGGATCCAAAAATTTGGCAGCAGGAGAATGGTGCTACTGTTCCCTCACCACCAAATATCTAGATCTGTGGGGAGCCTCTGCTCCTGGAGGCTGGATCGGGCACTCAATCCCAGTGTGCGTGGCGCCAGGCAGGGACAGTGCTAGGCCCCAGGGCCTAATCCCAGAGCATGGAGGTGGGAGGGAGTGGTGCTGCACTATAGGCCTGGTCCTGGCACAGAGGGCTCAATCTGGCCCACAGGCCAGCATTGCAGGGCCAAAACCTTTAGCACCATTGATCTAGATCCTCGAAAAAGTGAAGCATAGATTCCATTTTGAAGTATGCTTTGGACTGTTGTGAAGCAGATCAAACTGAAAATAGATTATGGTCTCTAAATTGAGGTAGCTCTGTATGTAATTATTTCCTAATCACACTCGTATCTGTAAAGCAGATTAAGTATCACTATACTTTTTTTTTCTAAGTTGGCACTGGTGAGGCCTCCCCTGGAATACTAAGTCCAGTTTTAGGCCCTATGCTTCAAGAAAGATGTGGACAGATTAGAAAGGGTCCACTGGAGAGCAACAAAAAAAAATTAGGTGCTTGGGAAGTGTGCTTTCCAGAAAAAGACTGAAAGAACGAGGATTATTTAGTTTGGGTTTAGATTAGATATTAAGAGAGTGGTTAAGTATTAAACTAGGCTACTCAGAGAAGCTGTGGATCTGCATCCTTGGAAATTTCTAAGAGTTGGTTAGCCAAATACTTGACTTGGGATGTTTTTTCAGTGGTGGTCCTACCTTGAGCAGAGGGTTGGATTAGGTGAAGTCCTGAGGTCCCTTTCAGCTATACTTTCCTATGATTGAAAGGCACCCAAAAGGGGAAGTGGCATAGCTAAGATGCATCTGAGATCACAAAGGTATCAATGTTGAACATAGAACAGATCTTCTGCCTGTCAGTCTACTGCAATGATTTTCAACTAGGATGCTGTATCACTGTAGGGTACCTAGTGATCCTTTCAAGGATGCTGTGGAGTGTCAGGAAATGTTAACACTGTTAGGTGTGTAAACGTGATTCACGTGATAAGCCCAGATATTTTAAATAGGGATCTATAGTGTTAAAAAAAAACATTCTACCTCAAAGTTTGAGGTTTTAGCAGCAGAAGAATTGCTTATTATTTTTGTGTAATGAAAAAATGAGGAAAAACTAAAAGCTGCCTCTGACAGGGGGCCATCACAAGGCCTGTCTTGATGTCGGCCTGCCCACCTGTCTAGGGCAGTCTGCCCTATGTCGCCTGTCGCATCTTGCTGTTTTACCACTGATGTAAAATATGGGAGGCTGTCCATTAAGTGCCCTGATGCCTAGGGCATTATACACATCTCTGACCTACCCTGTACCGTGTCCCATGCCTCACAGATGGCATCCAAAATACTAGGCTCCACAGGCCCAAACTACCCACTGTTTACTACCCACTGGCTCCTTTGCTGAGCCATACCACTCGGCCTCTGGCCCAAATGAGATGTCAGGCATCCGTAGACTTACCTTGGCCATTCTGCCCCCTCTCTGGGGCTTCAACTCACACCTTAATACTAGGGCCTCCCACTTACACCCTCTCTCTACGGCCTCCTGCTCATGTTGTCACCCTCTTTTGGGGCTGGCCTGTGCAGCCCTTCAGGTCTGCCTCAGAAGACCCTACTCTGCACCCTTATGCGCAGTCCATTAGTCTGCCACTGTGAACCCTACTCTGTGCAGCTTCTACACACATTTCTGCCCCCTCACTGGGGCGTTACATCCTGTGGGACTCAGGTGCCTCCCGAGGCATGCCTGGCCACCCTACTCGTCTCTACAGCTGGGTTACCCACCAGGTTGTGGGGGCTGGGGCTATCAGGCACCCCATACTCGCTTTTCACTAGGGAGGCAACTGATGTGGCACTTCCTGTGGACCACCCCACCACAGGCAGCCCCACCACACCATCCTGCCCTAGCAGGGTGTAGTTTTTGGTCATTCCCCAGGACCAGGAGCCTTCTGCCATCTCCATAGCTCCTGCCCTTACCTCCAAGATGTTGTGAGCCGCAGCTCTAACCCGGCGATGTTCTCCCTACAGATGCAGCCAGCAAACTGCTGGGTCCTCTGCTCAGGCTTGCTCTTGTTACTAGCAGCTGAGCCCTCTTCCCCAATCAGGCAATCCCCTGCTGGCCATGTGACTCCTGACTGGGGAGTTCATCCACCTGAAAGCTGCTGAATCTTAGCCCTTAAAGCGGCAGGAACCAGAGGTGCTCTGCCATGCTGCCATTTTCCGAAGGGTGCCTTGAATCTATAGAGAGGTTCATTGAGTTTAGAAAATTTGAGAACCACTGGTCTTTTTAAAAGGTTATTTAATTTTACAGTAAAATTGATTGGTATGTACCTGTTTAGTGAGAATCCCATTATACTTTTCAACATTAATTTAAAATAAGGGAACCCCTAAATTAAGACGTCATAATTGTCAAATGTTATAACTTTGATTAAGATGGTGGGTTGACAGTAATTACTAGCATAGTTCATTATTTATCACTGGAGTCACTCTTGCTACATGCACATGGATATCTGTTTATTGAATGTGACATTGCAACAGTTCAAGCTGCCTATTTTCCACTGAGTCAGAGAGACAAAATAATTCATCAGAGGAATATATTCTCTTGGATCAAGATGTACAAACTATAACTGTAGTGTCTTAATATTTTATCAAATAATTGTACATCTTGTGTTTATAAAAAACAGGCATGTTTTTATCCTTGTTCAAGAAATAATCTCTTTTTTTTTCTGAATGCTGCATACCTGTTATTACTTAGGACTTCTCTGAGAATTCGTAACAATTATTTTTGAGAAAATAATATACTGAAGCTGTCAGGGATGGAAGGCCTGTAGGGTGGAGGTGAATTGTATGGAGGCGCAGGAGTGTGCAGGCTTCTTGAACAATTCTGAAGGGTCAGAAACTTAAGCAAACTGTGACCCTGTTGAACTTAGTTGTTTGGACATGCTCCCATTAGCAGACTGAGGGATCCAGTTAAAATTTGCCAGCCATTATATCTCATTAAGTCTGTTCCAGATATTCATCCAGCACTAATCTGTACACGTCCTACTATATATATAGACTAGTGCTACTAATATATATATATATTAATAGCACTAGTTTGTCTATTTTATATGGTCTTAGTGGTGGTCAATAGGACGCCTTAACATGAGAATCAAAACGAGTTCCTGAGTTGATCCAGTTTCTCTCACCCCTGTGGCAACTCCTAAGACAATTGTATTTAATTCAAAAGAGCAGTGTGAGAAGAAGTCTGAAATCTGTGGAAGAATGTGTAACTACTTCCTGGGAAATTTAGTGTGATCATGTTCCATTCTTCCACTGGAATGTAAAGTAAAGTGGCACTGCAGGGAAATAAAATTTGGGAACCATTTTGGATAGAGGGTAGATGAGAGACCAGATGATAAGGAGAGAAGGTTTGGCTGAACCTGAGGAGAAACAAGGAGAGCAGGATGAAATCACTCCTTCTTCTGTCTTCTCCCACTCTTTAATTTGTCCCTGAGTCAGAATGCTGGCATAACATAAAAATGAGATTTTTTTTAGAAGTTCTCTGCATTGGCTGGGAGAGAAGTTAATCCAGTGCTCAGTGCTTCTAAAGGTCTTGACCCACAATTTTTGATATTCTTATGTAGGCACACTTGGAGTGATAGGAGTGGAGCCTAGGATTTTTTTTTTTTAATCTTTGTAGTTGCTTGAGGCATACTCAGTAATTTCTGAGAGGAGCTCCAATGTTGTTCTTACAAGGTGGGTTCCTGGGAGTGTTCCCTTTTTTTTTTTCCTTAATCTAATGCATAATTGCTTTTGATTATAGTCCATGAAAATTATCCACCTGTACAGTACTAAATTGTTGACTTTAAGAGGAGTCTGTTTGTTGTAGGCCAGCTAGGCACTGCGAGGGTATCAGCCCCTGGGCTGTTTAAAACAACAGATAGACAGACATGTGTTGGCAGTTTATCAATAGTCCCTCAATGCCAGGTGATTCCAGTGAAGACCTGGTGATTCCAGTGTACACCGGGTGATTCCAGTGAAGTCAGGCGTCCCCGGGGATTAC